GATTAGTGCAATTAGTTGGTAAGATGACCCACTCTATTACTTCTGCCACTACTGCTCTGATTCTAGTGGTGTGCATTAGTTCAATTCACAAACAAAAACAGCTAACATATTAAAGACCACCACAGACCAATTATTACCTAATACATTACCAAAAAATCGCTAATGTTATACCAGAGCTGTATCCTTAATCAGTTCTTTATTACCGGTGAGGTGAAGGTGGGAACTTGTTGTGCTGCAGTCTAGGTGGTGCCATTTTTTCACTGGATCCAGCATTAGTGCAATTACGGTAGTCGGTAAGATGACTCACTCTATTCCTTCTACCATTACTGCTCTGATTCAAGTGGTGTGCATTAGACACTTCTAGTACCCTGAATAGTTTATCATTACAAAGTATAACTAATCACAACACATTCCAGCCAAAACAATTAAACTCAAAACCAAAATTATCATCATAACCATTCATCTGCTTATATTTGTTGTAAGCAACAGACTCACTATGGGGCCAATCCTGTAACGGATTTCACCCCAGCAGTAATCAGCAAAACAGTCTTAAGATGTCAATAGCTATAAGGAAAAAAGGTTGCTGGCTAGGTAGATTTGATCTAGCTGGTTTATCAAACTTGAATGTTGGCTCTGCCAAACATTCATGTTTATGCCTGTGGGGTGAGGCAAAGGGGACTGAGATGTGGGGAAACTGCTGGTGGTGCTGCTTGCCACAGGAAGAATAATTACGAATTGAACTGGTTTCTGACCTGTCTTCCTATTGTTCAGCTCTGGAGCAGTCTGGTCTCTGACCTGTCTTCCTATTGTTCAGCCCTGGAGCAGTCTTCCAGCAAGCATCAGCTGGATCCAGACTGCACAATATTATCTTCCAATTTGGCCAAAAATGCCCAGATTTGGTGACTCCCATCCTATGTATATTGACATCTCTACTAGCTACAGAAGCCTGTACATAAAATACAATCATGGAAAATGTAAGTCACATCAAACAATGTTTTAGCATTATGGGTTCCCTTTAAAATTCAATTAGAGCAACAGATTTATTGAGTTTATGTTAAAAAAATATTGAATCTGTATGCCATTATGGTTGGATGTTCTCAAAACAATCAGATTAAGCGGACTGAATGTTGTGATTTCTGTGTTGTGTATTTTGCATCGTAAAGCTATAATGCTTTAGAGCTTCAGTGACCCAGAGGCCTGAGATTTCATGTTTGTGTACTTCTCAAATTTACATTTTAATGGAATAATTCTGACTTTAATGAATATAACTCAACTGGAGCCCATGGAGCCATTGATGGAGAGTGACAGAAATAGGTGAGACATGAAACAAGAGCCCACAGACCTAAGAGAATTACAGCTAGCTACAAGCATTGAGGCATAATGGGTAATATTTAATCTGGTGGGTTATATTAGCAGGGTAGCAATAACACACTGGAACTTTATAAACTGTATACAAATGGAGATATATAAGCTACAATTGTAGACAATCTTGTTAGTGAATCTTTCAAGACGGCAAATTAATGCAATTTTGTTGGTGCATGAAGTGCATTTATTTCACAGCAGAGGCAGCAGTTTCCTCTAGGATTTCAGCTCTCTCCCATTGATGGAGTTTTCCTCTACTTCAGCGTAACTATATGTAAGGGTGCAATCTATTACACATTTCTGTCTTGTGGAATGATAGTACCATTATTACTTTTTCATTTCCTATATATACCTAAAACCAAAATATTATGGAGCCCTTTTGAAAGTATTAGCAAAAGTGTTCCGATTTTTCTAATGAAAAAAAGAGAAAAAACCAAAGCAGTTTTTGGAGGTTTTTTTTGTTACTGTTTGCAGAATTGTTTTTTCTTTAGATGATAAAAAATTGTGTATTTCTAAAAAATTAAATGCATTTTTTTTAAATTGAGGTGTTATTTCTACAGGAAGTCGACTGTTGAACAGATAGGTTGCATAATGTGGCTGTGAGTCGGGAAGGGATATGTGAGCAGCTGTAATCCAGAGGAGGTACCTAAGATGTACAGTACTCACTAATCTGGAAGAGAGGGGGTACAGGGTGCAATCATTTTTGAAGGCATTAGGCTCAATTCCTAAACAAAAACAACAAACAGATTAAAGACTACCATGGACCAATTATAACTTAAAACATTACCAAAAAACAAATAATGTTATACCGGAGCTGTATCCATACCCAGCTCCTTATTACTGCTGAGATGGAGATGGGAGCATGTTGTGCTGCAGGGTAGATGGGCCATTTATTCCCTGTAAGGGAGGGGTTGTGATCAGGGATCCACAGGACACTGATGCAGCTGCGAGGGACTGGCAAACCGGTCAGGCCAAACACTGTCTATTACCAATGCCACAGGTCCATGCATCATTTAATGACTGAGGTGGATTGAACAAAGATTCTGCTTTACATCTGCTGCATATGTACATATTATTTTGGATCAATTATCGTTCCCTACCATTTACTAGCTATTGGCAACTTTTATTGCAACCATTAGCCTATATATATCTCTATCTCTCTATATATAGAGAGATAGATATATAGATATATCTATATCTATATATTTATGGTAACTACCAGGTTTTTCTATACTTACTGCAGGGAGTGGCAAATGTCATTTTAATTGATTTACTAAATTTATATAGGTCTGTGCACTTTGCAAGGAAATTTTCCCTTAACTTAGTGAATGAGGTGAAGCTCTGCTGACTTACATCATCTAGTGATATGCAAGCAAAAATTCATTTTTAAAAAAATGTTTCTTTGTATATGATTGGGAGTTCTTTGCAAGGTCACTTTTTGCTACATTCACTAAGCTACAGCAGTTCCCACTGGTGGTGCCTACAGTACGGCATTGCAGGGATGTTGGACCAAGCCTCCGACTGCACCCCCAGCCCCAGGCCTGGTTGGGAATCACACACTTGCACAACATTTAAAAGGCCTCTCCTTTACCAGTGGTTGCAGGCTTTGTTCATAATGGATCCAGTCCATTGCCTGAGGCCCATAAGAATGGGAGGCCCAGATAGCGTCCGTGTGCATGAGAGGAACCTATTCACCCACTGATGGACCGCCCATTACTAAAGCACCACTCATTTCCAACCCAAATGGCTGCTAATTTACATTCCCCAGTTATTTGCTGTGCCTTTACGTCTCTAAGAGAACATGCAGTCCAGCACATTCAGCCGCAGCATTACTCCTGACATGTGGATTCTGATATATTATTACCAAGTTGAGCTTCACTTTACATGCTGTTAGCCTTCACCAAATGCATAAACAAGACACTTCCTGATTTCAGAACTTTTACTGAACCTATTAACTATTTATGGTACACACCAAAAACTGTGGTGACACTAATCTCCAAAAATGTGACAGAGTTTGCAAAACATGGGTTTTCTCTTTTGTTGGGGGCTAAAGGAGGGTTACTGCACTGCTCATGATGTTGTAAGGAAGTAATTGTCGAACTGTGTGTCCTCTACATTTCCCAAGCTACAGGCCTGAAGCTTACTTTTTTAACCCCATGCATGCATGTGTGTCTTATCTCTACATCTCTCTAGCTTCTTCCCTGAATCTTCCTCAGCTTAGCTCTCCCTTCCCCTATATACAAAGTGTGAAGTCCCCTCCCAGGTCAAAAGGAGTCTAACACCCAGAAAGGGACAAACTAACGGGGTGGTAACCCCCCGCTACAGGGATGCAGCAGGGAACTCTACACTTGTTGTAACATTCCCCTTTTTTAACTGTTATTTTGAAAATATGCTCCACACATATACATTGAGGGGAATGTATTGAAACTGGAGCAACCAGAATCTGGAGCAGTTGCCCATGCCTATCTTTCATTTTCAAAGCTTAACTAAATAAACTGAAGAGAGAAGCTGGTTAATATGGGCAACTGCTCCAGACTCTGTTTGCTCTGGTTTTGATATACTTGATTTTTAGATTTAAGTTAAGGACCCGTGGTGTGATTATAATAGACATGTGGATTTGATGAGTACATGGGTATAACAGTGCCCCAAGAACAAGACTTCTACCATTAGGTAAGGTGTGACTCTTGTCTCAGGCAGAACCCTGTAGGGTATGCTATGGCAAAATATGCAACCATGCAATGTTTTTTTTTTAGCATGCTTCAGAGCTAGGGCTTAACTGCAGGTACTGAGTTTTCCAAATGCAAAGATTTGACAAACTTTGGTTACCTTTAGTTGAAAGCACACTTGTCAATGCTCTGAAGCTCTACTGATGATTTCCATATTTATTTTTGGTCTGTGATGCAATCCATTGATTGATGTTACCTCATTATGGGTCCACCATACCAATGTTGTATTGAATAACCATTGGTTTCTAATATCTCACAAAGACATCAGTGGAGTAGTTTGTTACCTGGAATTCCCACCTTCCAAACCTGCAGAGGCTCACAATTAATGCAACTGGAGGAGTCTTAATCATTCTGTTGTGATTTCTCTAATGTAAATGGAATTTTAAAATCTAATAAGAAGAATACGAAGCTCTGGTGATGGCAAATCAGGACGAGGAACAATGTGTTCAGATTCAGGGAACTTCCCAGCAAAGCTTCCAAGAGATATAAGACCTTATGACTTTACGAGATATAACTTAAAGATCAGTTTTGCCTGAACTAATGGAAGACACAACCGCTAGCCAGACTCAACCACCTAACATGATGCTCAGGCACTGACATGCCCAATTATGATTCACCATAAGGGGTGATACTAGGTACTTTTGACATCAGATCGTATCTAGTGAGATACCTGCTTTTTTATGGGCCAAATATCTGCCTTTTCTAGCCCTAAATTCAGTTGTTTACTACTTACTAAATTTGTATATTTTCTTAAATATATATTGCCCAGTCTTCAGCTTGCTTGTGTTACACAAATGATATGCTGTGTATTTAAAATTTACAATGGTCAAGAATATTTGACATATTAGATGTTATATGTTCTACTGTTTTAAATATCCTGTAAACATGACCTTTCTTTGTTTCTGTTAGCAGGCCTACACTGGATATGCAATCGTAACCATCACCTGGCCTTTGTAAAGTAAAGCTGGATGTATCTCTTTATTGCCTAGTACTGTTACATGCAGGAGTGCAATGCTACAAGAGCCCTGGCATTTTCATAGTTTTGTATTAAGATGTAACAGTTACCCAAGATGGACTGAAAGCAAATACCTCACATTTTCATCTTTCCCATCCAAATTTCTTCTCTGCTGGTCAATCCTCGTTATTGTCTTCTTCCCACAGTTTGTGAACTCTCTTCCATACAAAGTTGGTGTTGTTGGACCTTGGTCCTGTGATCCATTGTTTTCTAAAGCTCTTCCACACGTTGCTGCCAAGTTAGCTGTTGAACGCATCAATAAGGATGCTTCCTTAGACTTAGGACATACCTTTAATTATGTGATAATTGATGAAGACTGCCAAACCTCAAAAGCTCTATCAACCTTTCTTACATATTCTGGGGTTGCTTCAGGCTTTATTGGCCCTTCAAACCCAGGATACTGTGATGCTGCTACTCTATTAGGAAAGAACTGGAACAAAGCTGTGTTTTCTTGGGCCTGCATAAACTATGAGCTGGACAATGTGAAAAGTTACCCTACCTTTGCAAGGACGCTACCCTCACCCACCAGAGTTCTTTTTAATGTAATGAAGTATTTTCAGTGGGCACATGTTGGAGTAATTTCATCCAATGAAGACATTTGGAAGGATACTGGGAGGAAAGTGGCAAATGCCCTCCGCAGTAATGGTCTGCCAGTGGGGATTGTTATATCAATGGGGGAGGACAATAATAGCATTCGACAAGCTCTGCAAAAAATGCGCAAGGTTGACAATCTACGCTGTAAGTTGGACTCATTGTTTAGCCTGTCTATTTTTAATGCCATGTTTCTGCTTCAAACAAGGCTAACTATGCCACCATTATTCAAAGCTACTAAATACATAGTTCTGTTATAACTGATTGATTTTTTGTTAGTATAATCAGATTCACACTTAGACTAAACTCCTGGGAAAGGGGTAAGATTAAATTCCTATAGATAAACCATTTTACCTGCTAAAGTAACTGCAATTGTGTTCAGCAATCCTTGTGGTCAAGACACTCCTGCTAGGAAGCACAGCGTGGTTGGTGACCCTTATTTCTTTCTGTTGCTCCTAAGTAACACTACTTGATCACCAATATAGCAAACGCTTGTTAATGGATGGTAAAAGAGAATCAGCACACTGATGAGTTCATCATTTGGTTCTCTCCTTTTCTTAGCATGTTTAAACTGTTAACTAACAGCAGTGTTCAAAGCAGTAGCCCTCCAGTGGGCTCAGACTGATGATATTCCCTCTAATGGTACTGCTGTGTTTGGCGTGGGATTATGGGAGGCTGATTTCCACACAGATCTCTGTATTTATGCTAGTTCTAGTTTTAGTATTTGTAATTGGATCATTTAAAAAAATCTGTGCTTGAAGATTTAATTCTTACCACTACCATGCTGTTGACGCTTTAAGTATTATATGAGAGCGGTGGATAATTGGGTAAGATAACATCTTATTTCTTCCATGTAATAAATGTTATATGGACCATTCAGGAGAAACAATGGTGGTAAAGATTGCAGAGTAACACTGTATAAATAAATAATTTAGGATCACGAGAATATTTTTAGTTGCTTTGCATATTTGCATGCTATCCAGTCTGTCTCCATCAGATACACACATGGAATTTACATTACTACGGAGTTGATTTAAAAATCTTGTGCTGAGCAATTAGCTGGGTAAATGCTGAGCGCATGGCACTACCACCACTAGATGGAGCAGAGGAGCATGGGAAATTACTAAGCTTCTCACACCATCTAGTGATGGCAGTGCTGTGCGAACAACATTTGCCCAGCTATATGCTGGGTGGAAGACTTATAAATGAGCCCCAATATGTTGTTCCTGTAAGCACACTTGGCATGATTACGGCAATTACTGCATCATTCACTATATTTTACCAATAATAGCATCAAATTTCATAGTCAAAGTCTAACAAAATGTTAGGATGTTATCCCTACAGGGTGGTGCCCACATGATTAATAGCAGAAAAGGGAGGTGGATCCTGCACCCTTATCACTTTCCCCATGTGACTTTCCCTGAAGATTCCTGGTAGCCACCCCCCTTGTTTGTTCAGGTCACTAGAGAGCAATACTGGCTATACAGGCTGTCTGTCCACCCCAGAATGAAATACATAATAGGATGGATAGACATGTTCTGAAGGCTGTGGAATACTGTTCTATAGAAAGAAATAAAAGTAAAAAGTAAAAGCAGGATCAGAGCCAGAGTAATCGGAGTCCAAACAATTATTTTCATCTCCCTTTTGCATGCTGTACACGTACATCTGCTGGTCAAAACAACTTGTTTAAATGGAAATAGGGCTGTTATCTAAATAAACAGCATAGAACATTGGCGATAACATTATCCAGCGTAAATAAGGATTAATTATTAAAATGTCCCTGCAACAAAATCCCATTTGGCTGTGTTACGTTTGTAGAATAGAGCCTGCTCATGTAATACTTGCCAACTATGCTAAGTTTACTGGCACAATAATGGGTTCCTGCACTTACGGTATTCACAACCATTAAATATCTACAGGTGCCCTGAAGTCACCACTATTGCTTGCAAAGCCTGTTGTTAGATTTTAGCCTGTCAGTCCATTGTAGCCCTTTTGGTGCCATGATAAATGTATTTACAGTTAGTGTCAGATGCTCTTTTTTATGATAAAAACATGCACAGATAGGTAAAGGTTTATGGAGAAAATATTTGCAGGTCCGATTGTCACCAAAGATCTGACTGCTGTCGGAATCACACCCCAGCATTCATAGTCACACAGGTAACTTTGATCCAGTCAACATGGAATGTGTCAAAGCACATGTTGATTGTCCAATAACATGATGGGAGGTAGGTGTAAAGGTTTGTGAAATCACCCTGTTCTAATTCTATAATCCAGTTGCCATAATGCCAATCTGTCTGGAACATGTGGTAATTGTTCGAGTCACGTGGATGAAGATTTGAAATGTCAAATTCAGCCAGATATGTTAAGAGATTTCATGCCTTTGCTCAGTGCAAAGTCTCGTCGGGATTCTTGCTGAGATTAAGTAACTCACATGCACATGTGTGGGAGTTACGTCATTGGGTCCAGCCAATCGAGCATCCAAAGACTCAGAACCCAGAAGAGGGTCTAGAAAAGATGGAAGAGCTGGTGACCGAGGGTTCACGGCTAGAAGGGATCACTTCTGTAGGTAAGTCAGCCATAATGTGCTAATATGCTGTTCATACTACCACATGATGGCAAACAGCTCCCCGGGCCCAATTTTTTAATTTGTTTTATCAGCAGTTTACTTCCACCTCAAAACAAACCAGAAGAGTGCCCTTCTAGCAGCAGTTTGAAATGTGCACAAAGAATACCCCTCATTCGAATTAAGTATAAACCAAGCTGAGACATGGAGACTGCATATCAATGTAACCTGAATGCTATGGGAAACAATCATCAGACAAATCTGTGTACATAGCATTATGTTGGTCATATGGTTTCCTATATAAGCAGATTGATGTGTATCTAAGCCATAGTTGCCAACATTCAAAAAAAATTGCAGAGAATGTATAATAATTAGGGGCGGGGTATTTATTTAAAATAGGTGTGGTTCTACAAGAGGCATATCGTTAAGCTTTAGTACAATTTAATCTTTAGAAAAAGTGTATATACTGGAGGATTTATCTTAATAAGTGCTTGTTCATAGTAGGGTCCAGCACAATTCGCTTCTGGAATGCACTGGATCGCATCCTGGGAAACTCCCTGAATTCTGGGCTGGAGGGGGTGTCACGCCCCCGGCCCACAGTGCAATCATCCAAACCAGAACGCGTTGCACAATGCCTGTGTTCTAGTTCAGCCTGATCGCCAAAAATAGAACTTGTAGTATTTTTTGTGATCACACTTGACCGCAGCGCAGGTATTGATGTGCCATGTGTTCTGGTGCAGGCGATCACACTATGGACTGGGAGTGTGGCTGCGGTGCCATTGACTTGAATGCACCGCCACGCCCTCTCCCACCCCAGAACGTAGGATGCGATCCAGTGCGTTCCAGCAGCTAATCATGCTGGAATGCACTGGAGATGGTGAGAACCGGCAGGGTAGAAACAAAGCCATGACATTTGCCTTTGAGAAAAGGTATATAACCCTTTATAACTATAAATATTATACATAGATTAAAAATGTGCTTTTAGTACTGGAATGTTTGTTTTATATATTATATCAGGGCTCAAAATGTCAGGTCCTGAGCTACTAGCCAGGCCTTCAAAGTTACTCGCCACCAGTTGCCCTGCATAACACAAACAAACACACACAGGGCACAACGCGCACACAGCGCAACACACATACAGCCACAGCACAACGCACAGGGCATTACAGATACAGCCACAGCACAACGCACAGAGCATTACACATACACATTTCATCTGAAACTAATTTTTAGTCTTCGCACATGTCTAATAATATGCGTGTGGGGGGGAGCAGTTTTCACTTTTTTAAAATAATTTTGTACATTTTTATTTTTTTATTATTATTTTTTATTTTATGATTTATT